AATGGAATCTGTATGTTTTATATATATATATATACATTGTACATATGTAAGAAAATTAATTAAAGATAATAATCGTTTCAATTCATCACATTATCTGACCTTTGACTGATCTTTAGGTACAACATGTACAATGTGACTTGTAAACAAACATGTCTTTTAAAATTGTATGTTTTATTCCTAAACTTAGTGATGGTTTCATAATCAATCAGAGATACAAATGTACATGTACAGTGATGTATGTATATATTCTACTTAAACTTTTTTTAGTTGTAAGTGATTTCAGGATCTCATGGATCTCTTATTGAACTTTTGATGGCTTTCAAAAATAGAAAAATGTAAACATAATTTGACACCCAAACTTTAAAATCACTTGTAATTGTACTTAAAACTTTTAAACACTTACAGTTGTAAGTAAGTGATTATAACATCAAGGATTATCATAAGAAAAGTTTAAATGAATATCTTCCCGTTTTACAATAACTCCTCTCAATGCAATACTGCAAAATTTTATTTTAAAATGACTGCTCCATAGGGCCAGTTTTAAATTTAGCTACTGTAAATCTTTTATTTCAATGTGTCAAAAAAAAAGAAGATACGTATACATACATGTATAAAGTCATGTTATTGGTTATACATGTACATGTTTTAGATACATATTATACACTGTACATTAATCTAGATCTTTATAAGCACATGTTATATAATATACAGGAAAGACTTCACCGTATTAAATCTTAAAAAAACAATTTACATTGTCAAGTGTTTATCCCCGAATAACATGTGTTTCTTGAATAAGATATTAGACAAACTGTCATAAATTGGAAAATGGTAAATGCTACGTAGTTGATTCTTCTTTATTCATGTATTTCAAAGGTGTTGTAATGTGAAGGAAGTGACGTTTCGTTAAAATAGTTACCATAAAATTAAGCTGGTTAACTCAATTAATTATATAGAGTCCTCCGAACACCGCTTAATGGTATTTTTTTCATAAATCAATGAAATTGATAAGAAAACCAAATCAAAGGTTATAGGTATGAACACAATTAAATGAGCTACGGAGTAATGTGTTAGCTATTTTGGCATATTTCTATAAGTTATTAAGGATAAAAAAAAATTGTGGAACATATCAGCGTCAGGGATTTTACTAAACGTCTTTTTTATAACCGCTAGTTCTTTGTTTTTGATTTTTTTTAAGTCTTCCAAATATACCTTTTAAGAATTAAAATCAAGAAGTTTATTTACTTGAATTATCTATTGACGTAAACAGTCAATGATTTTACCATGCTTTTAATAGACTCCAGCTACACATTGTTATGTGTTTTAATGATTCATCACAGTTTAATTCCATAAATTTATTTTGACATAAGCGAGGAATTTATAATGCAATTCAAATAGAATTTAAATGAGATAAAGTTTGTCTGACATCTTATTCAAGAAACACATGTTGTGCGGACATAAAAATTACCTTTGATCTTTCCTCTTCGAAATACAAAGTTTTGTTTAGATGTATTACAATCTTATCTCAATCTAATACCTGTATATGTAGTTCCATTTGTGGTTTTGTTGATATTTTTTTACAAATCATTATCAGCATCTGAGAGCATAATATTTTGTTTATGGTGAAGGACAGTAAATGGCCTATGTCACTTTTTGATAACATTTGCATTTAAATTTTGCTCGTTTGACTATAACTGAAAATCGAAAAAAAAAAATAATGCATATATGTATATACCTTTCATCATTCGATATATGACTGATTGACTTTTTTACGTGAACATTTGTATAGAAAGCACATGACATCGGTCAAAAAACTTCTAAAATTTTGTCTAAAAATCATCTAATCTCTAATTTTTGATACATTGATTTTTTTTGGAAAAACTTTTTCAACTTATTGTTCTAGTTCGTTCTTATTTTGTACTGTTACACCACTGTCCCAGGTTAGGGGGAGGGTTGGAATCCCGCTAACATGTTTAACCCCGCCACATTCTCTATGTATGTGCCTGTCCCAAGTCAGGAGCCTGTAATTCAGTAGTTGTCCTTTGATAATGTGTTACATATTTGTTTTTCGTTCATTTTTTATTCCTAAATTCGGCCGTTAGCATTCTCGTTTGAATTGTTTTACATTGTCATTTCGGGACTTTCTATAACTGACTATGCACTATGGGCTTTGCTCATTGTTGAAGGCCGTACGGTGACCTATAGTAGTTAATTTCTGTGTCATTTTGGTCTGTTGTGGAGAGTTGTCTCATTGGCAATCATACCACATCTTCTTTTTTATATTATATGTTGATGATACATGAATTTCCGCTTAAATGTTATAAATTAATTACAAGTTCACGCACTTTGTTTTCACGGTATAAATCATTCAAGTTGGTGTTCTATGTGAAGAAATACCACGAAACGTCATAACCTTCATACTTCGTCCAATAACCGATTGTCACCTAGTTGGTAGTAAATAATATTTTAAGACCTGCAAGGCAATGACATTACGATTATTTCGACGGGTCGCGGTATTTTTTTTTAATGGCATGGTCTTTTAATTAATATGACGATGATCACATTTCTTATATAGTTTCCACTACCTAGACTTTGGGCAGTTAAGATTTTGACATGTCATTTCGACTCTTGTTTTGTGAGGGTTTCAATTGCCTTCAGATGAAATCTTTTTTTTTTTGTCTTTGCATCAGATCAGATCGACAATGTAACAAGGGGATTAACTCTGACCTTTAAGGACCATTTGAATTGCATGTCTGTACTCAAATCACAGCACTTGTTTCTTTGTGACGACTGTTAAATTTGGTTAGTTTTTGGTTTAGCTGTTGATTTAATCTCATCCAAAGAAATATACGAAGAGCGATTGTATGTTGTATTTGAAAACAAGTGATTTTTTCTTATTTCATTTAAATTCAATTTTTCAATCTAGTATTTGCTGAATTTGCAGGTAATAAACTTTCAACTTGTACATGTATCTAACAGCTTTTGATTTATCAAGTCTTGCTTGAAATGGAGTTTAGACTTTGCAAACATATATTTTTGTTTCGTGTTTACTATCTGAATGTTTGCAATGATTTATTTTACCCTGGTCAAAAGCACAATATTATACCATTTATCCAACCGATCATTCACTTCATTATCTTAAATTTGGAATAAACAGTTCATTCATAGTCAGTTAGAAGATAAATCTCTAAGTGGGAAAACATTTAAATGTTTTACTAAATATAAAAGGAAACATGATCAGTTATTTAAATATAATTTGTATGAAATTACACGATATCTGTTTATAATCCTTGAGATTGGACACATTTTCTACTTCAATAATGTATCATCTGTTAAATGCGGAAGTTAACAAAAATAATGTTACTAATTTTCCATTTCGATATGTTGTTTATAAATTTAATCTGCATAATATCCGATATCTATAATCCTAATGATTGATTCTGATGATATATGAATATATATGAAGCTAGCATTCGGAGTAAAATCATGCTTGAAGCGTCAAGATTGATGAATGTGGAGGGTACTGGTATCGTTTATTTATTAATTTTTCAACAATTTAGACTTTTCTGTTCCTTATGTGTTGCTCTATTATTCTCTTTTCTGTGAACTCCATTTATGCTCTCATGCAGAATTTATAGAATTGTATTTGTTATGCCTATAAATGTAAAAATAATATGTCAATGCCTACCCTAATATATATGAATTATAATATAAAACAATCAAAACCACGTACACTTAGAGAAATTTCACACCGATCAGTTTTATTGAAATTTCCAACAATGTTTTAAAGGGCAATGAAGCATAAGCGAGATTACCAGCAAAGATCCAGATACCATTATAGATGCATTATTTTGTTTGCGTACCAATACAGCATGTGTATCTTTTGTAAACCATTTTTTTACGTATTTAATAAAGAATTTTCCGTCAGGTTGGATACTAATTTGGTTTTATTTAACTACATTATAATGTGTTAGGGTAAGTTTTGTTTACTTTAGGAATTACAACATTTTCAACTTAATACGAATAAAATTCGACATCTTGATTTAATGTTTGTTAAAGTCATTTTGAGAACCAATTTTTTCGATGTTGTGTGTTTTAAATTGACAATAAGTGTCGATTGAAAACAATCTTTACGACAGCTTCCCAATTGTGAACTTTCTATTGCTTTGTAGCAACATGCAAACAATACGTTAATACCATATTCCATCTTGTATTTTTTATCTGATTTTCTTGGTGAGGGGGTGCTGCTCACAAATAGTTATTTGACCAAGAGTTCCAAGTGAGGAAGTTGAAATAATCCCTTTTAGTGACGACATCACAAGAGGGTTGGTTGTTATGAAATATTTGTTTCACAGATTACGACTGATATCTTCGTAACGAGAATTTTGGCCCTTTTTCCCGAATGTGACCTACCGAATTAGACTTATCATCGAGTTTAAACTTACATGAGCATTATGACGGATGCCACACTTGGAGAATGATCTGTTTATCCTTCCAGTGCATGTCCGATCACTCACAGTGTTTGGTTTGTGTTTAATTTTTTATGTCGTGTTTTTTGTACTGATTTTTTTGACAAACTAACATTTGAACATGTATTGAAAAGAGACGAACAACATATCTAATCAATCTAATTTTGAATATATAGGTGTTTTTTTTTTATTATTCAGTATTTCCTAAATACACATGAAATAAATTTGAAGCCAGGACATCCACCAGCTTTTAGTCAAGCAGATATTTCTACACAAAGAAAACACCGTTTTGTAATGGCAAAAAAGTCGAAACTCATACAATCATTGTTTATATTGCATTTAGCCTGAACATATATAAAATGATATATCCTGTATAAACGTATCGATGTAGTACATGAGACATAAATACACATATATTGAAGACCCATTGCGGTCTTCTACTGTTATTTGCTCTTTGGTCAGGTTGTTGTCTCCTTGACATATTCCCCATTTCCGTTTTCAATTTTATTCTTATTTACAATTAAAAAGACAAAAAACATTGTGTCATAAAAAGTATGCTCGAAACATAAAGAAAATAAGAGATAACAATTCTGTTGAGAAAAAATCATATAATTACAGTAAAACAAATCTATGAATTATTTGCCAAAAAACATTACAAGCCTTTTTCTTAGATTTTTCAATGTCGTTTTTCTTTTTGAAAAGACTTGTCTAAGTATTGCCCATATGACAAAATGTGCTGTTAAATGAATAAACAACCCACAAACCCCTTATACACCTTCCTCTTTAAGAGATGGAATTGTTTAAGAAGATCTTTTTCCTGTAAGTAGTTTAAATTTGCACCATTTCATGTTTTAATTTTTTTACTTTTGAGTTTAATGGTATTCCAATGAATTTTGGAAACAAGTCATTGCTTTAAAGCATAATAAAATGCCAGTCAATTGATATTGTTTTAACATAGCTACTTACGCGTTATTGGAAGGATGAAGGGTGAAATATAAAAAAATCAAGAATTCAAAATTGATTGTATAAGTCAGAAGTGGGTTAGTTAAGGAACACAATAAGCTAAGATTATTTAAATGTGTCAGAAGTACCATCAGTTGGGACTTAATTTTTAGACAACGAACTTCAATGGATCAAAATTTGATTCCTGTGATTCCTGTGATGCTGGGCTAATTACACATATTTCTTAGATTAGCTACCAAGATATATCTGAGTGTATCATTAAAAATCACAACATCGAATAATTTTCAACCTTATACTCCTATTTCTATTAAAAGTATCCTACTAATTTTACATGTAGCCATTAAATAAGATATCTTATCTTTTCAAACATTATTGAAATATGAAATTTGAAAAAATAGCAAATTATAGAGTGAGAACTTTCAATAGCAATTAATCATAATGCAATGGTTGATAAATGTGTAATAAATTTCCAGACTGTTGAATAGGAAAATATACTATTTACAGAAAGACAATCAAAGACATATTTAATTAGGTTTTTAAACTTCAGAGAGCATTGTAATTTCCATTACAATCTATAGCTGGTATGCATTTATACATCATTCATAGCTACAATGAACAATCAATATAACAATACCAAAAAAAAAGTTCATATCTAATTTGTTGTCAAATGTTAGTAGGTTATGCTGCGAGTATCTTATTACTTCGTTAAGATTTATGTAGTTTTTATCATAACAGGCAATCCGACGGATACTAAGACTCGTCCAAATATCTGCCTTATAGTTTTGAATATGTGAATACATGTATCATCCACATCTTTCTACATCTATCATCAAATCTAACTAACATATGCGATGGAGAAAGAAAAACAATTTGGTTAGTCTCTTACTCAAACTCTACGCGGTTCATAAAAACACTGTGCATTTCACGTGTTTTCAACATATATTTGGTTAGTATGGCGAATTAGTAACACGAATGAATAACTTACTTGAAAAGGAATCCAAAATTCATATATGTCAAAGTAATAATCGTTGATTTTTTTTAGAAGAAGCTATAATCTTGTTAACATATTGTTAAGACAAAACATTTAATGTAACACAATAATTAACCAAATGAATGCCGGAAGTCCCCATACATAATTAAAGATATGTAGCGTCAAATAGCAGACATATTTACTAGTAAGATTTGATTGCCTTTTGAAGCTGTTCCCAAAAAACAACATCGCCGTACTCATCATTTGGATACTCAATATATGATTGACAATGCACCAGTTCGAGTATTCTAAGTGGAAGATTGCAAGCAGACATTTGCTCGTAAAATACTAGGAAAAGGATGTTCTCACAATTGCGTTCATAGATACTCTCCATTTTAGCCATATTATATTCGAACATACACCAGTACGAAGCTAAATAATTTGAAGACATAATGACAATTGTTTTCCGACTGTTATGAATTGCGGATGTGATATTAGTGGCGATGTCATTTCCGGGTAAGAAATTACGCCTATGCAAGCACAGCTGAATTCCACAATTTTTTTCTAGATTATTGAGAAGTTTATGGTGGACAAATTTGTCATCCTCATTTGCATATGACACGAAAGCATCATACATGTATAATCGTTCATCTTTGTTGTCTGATTGCGGTTCGGGGTCATTCCATTTGACCTTGACCATATAGTAAAGATAGCGTAGTTTCCATCTGTATCTGTAAACAATACCACCACATAGAATAAAAATAAACATCAAAATTCCAGTCGTTAATCCAATTATCAAACCTTCATATGACATACATTCCTTTCGTATTGTTTCATAAACTTCTCTAGGGTTTTGCAGAAGACTTATGGTATTTTGTGATGTTTTACATTCGTATTCTTCCCGATGATGAAGAATGGTTGGTGTGTCAATTATCCATTTGAGGAAAGACAGAGAATCACAATTACATACCAGATTATTTCCACAAAGGTCTATAGTGAGATTTGTTTTCATTTTTGCTATCGAGTTCAACGCGTTCATGACATAATTGCCAAGGGAAGATAATCTGTTATTGCGTAAATTCAAAAACGTGAGCTTTTTCATATGAGAAAGTTTAAAGTTGATATCTTCGATCATGTTTTCACTGAGGTCTAAACTTTCTAAATTGTATTGCCTTTGAAATAACATATTTGGTATATTCGTTATTTTATTTTTAGAAAGATTGATGTACACGACGTTATGGAGGTTCTGAAATATTTCTCCGTTGACATCCGTCGGTATAACAAGTCCTAGTAGATTGTTTTGTAGCAGTAAACATCTTAAATTGATGAAATCTGGACTAAAAAATGTCTTTGAAACATTAGAACAAAAGTTTGCTGAAAGGTCCAAATGTGTCAGTTTTTTAACATTCGTTATTGGTCCTGTCCATGTATGCAAGACATTATCACTAAAATCTACATTTTCTATTTCATTTGCAGTGAAACTCAAGTTTGGTAATTCAAATTTTACGTTGCTGGACCTCAGTGAAACCTTTATCAGATTCCTTGGCATTGGAAACACAAACTTACCAGATCTATTTTTAAACAGTTCCAAAATTGGGAGCTCTGTATATAACCAATTGTTTTCAGAATTGATGGTAACAGTTTCTTCTTTAATAGGACATTTTTCTACATAGGATGAGATAATATCAAGAGGAGAAGTATTGTCAGACATTTCCAGTGATGCAATTGACATATTTGTGAGATCAAGCAGATATTTGCCTGCAGAAAGCATGTTTTTCCTTATATCTACACTTTTGAATGTTTCAGGTAAATATTTAATTGCTCCGGATTCTATTGTCTGGATACGATTCCCGGCGGCTTCCAGTCTAACAATTGAAGTATTTCGTAAATTCCATATATGAGAAGTTTTCAGGACTGTAGTCTTTTCCAAAAAACCATGAATATAGTTAAATTTCAAGATTTGAATTGCCGAATGTTGCAAATCGGTGGTAATATTTTCAAGTGCTTCGAATCTTAAACATGTATTTAGAGAAACGTCAAGTTCCAATATATTTCTCAATAGTTTAAACGTTCCTTTGAAAAGATATTGTATCATGCATTTGGATAAGTTCAAATGAGATATTTGAGTAAAGAACAAGAATGTCTTCTCTGTTAGTATAGTCATTTTGCAATTACCAGTAGAACCAGATAAATCTAGAATTGTAAGGTTTTTTAAATAGCTAAATTTTTCATCAAAAATTGCCATTTTGTCTTCAACATAATCTATTGACAGCGATTCTAGTGATCGCAGTTTCCATAAATCTGGCACGAATGATGTATGGACATTTCTTTTCAAATTCAATTTTTTTAAGTTCTCCAGGAAATGAAAGGCTGAATATTCAAACGAAATGTTTTCATATTTCAAACCATTGTTGCTAAGATTTAAAGAGAGAAGATTTGTGAGTCCTTTGAACGAGTTTTTTCGTATTTGACTAATATTATTAAAGGACAAATCCAAAGTCGTCATTAAAGAGTTGCCTTCAAAAATCCCATCTTGTATTGTACTGATATTATTATTTCGGAGATATAACTCTTGGATATTGCTTGGAAACCTAGGTATACGAAGTAGATCTTTATCTGAACAATCTGCTATAAGATTTCCTGAACCAGGAACGTCTTTGCATAGACAGGAAATAGCAAAGAGACATGCTGTCCATTCCTTCGTCTCATTGAGTATTGCATGTTTGCAACAACTTAGAAATACAAAAGCAGTAACTAACATGTAAGGATGGTTGATGTTCCCTGCAAAGATAATATGCAGCTAATATGCAGTCAATTTCAAACTTGCAATGTATTTAGAAAAATAAAATGCAATTGCTTAATGACGGGAAACTAGCTGGACACTTATTTTCCGAAAACAAGCAAGATAAACTAAATTATTCATAAAATAATGTAAATCACAGTTTGAAAAGTTGTTGTACTATGTAAACTGATCGAAGTTTCCCTCAATCGTAAAGGCATTGTATGAAGAAGAATACATTTAGGTTATAATCTAATGAGAATTTAAAACTAATGTTTGGTAATAACTGTTGAACACATGAGTTTCAGGTGTATGCTACAATATTGTAAGGTATCGAATTTGGGCTCATAAGATAATTTCCAAACTTGCTGTTGTTATATTTTTTTTACATTTCAGTTATAATTTTGAAATAACTCATCAAAGATACAAAGATCAAAATTGGTTACCGTAGACATGTGCGTCTTCTGTATAAGACTGATCAGTGGTACTCTAATCAATAGTAGCAACATTGGATACAAAGTTGAAGAGCATGACAAATCTAGTTACTGAAAAGTTGTGCCTTTAACGGTTAAGTTACAAAGCGTTAGAAAAATCCAACGTTTTAAAAAACTCTAGATTTAAAGAAAAAGAACAAACCACTGATCTTTTTTATCAACTGAAAGTGTTGGCAACTGGATTGGTGATACAATCGGGGATCAAACATCCACCAGTAGTGGTACCGACCCAGTCTTAAACATTTTTTGCTGTCTTATCTTATATGGACTATGTTCATTTTATTTCAACTTGATTCTAGAGTCTGTTACATTTAGAGCCTGACAAAATGTATATTGTCTGTCATTTGTTGACATCTAGATGTCCTTTGTCGTTAGGTTGCTGTCTCAAGAATATATTTCATTTTCATCCATTTTGTACATTACGCCTTTTATCGCAGTTCTCAAACTTTAATAGCACGGGTTTAAATAGTTGTGAAAGAATCATATAATGAATACTGAAATGACAAAACTAAATTTTCCAATTCCTTTTTGGACAAGACACATAATTATCATTTAGAAACTAAGGTCATTGACAAGGCATCAAACTACGGAAGACACAAAACATACTCATTTTGAGATTAGATCAAAGGTGTTTTGTGAGTATTTAACTGTATCTGTTCGTGGCCGAGAATATTTAGTTTTAATCGGTCATTACCGAGTATCTCTCTTGTGGGACTAAGTGTAATCTCATATCCCTTAATAGTTTACAGGTCGCTCTCTTTGTAGCCGGGTCAAACTAGTTTTGACGTACTCACACTTGATTATTACTGTTTCTTTGGAATTTTTGCGGCCGGATTTATATTGTTTTATCAATCTTCACCCTTGCCTAGTTGTATTTTGAGAATCTTTGTGGTCGAATAAAATTAGTATAATTAGTCCTCACTTGTGGCTAAAAAAAAGCAAGTATGTGAGCACTTCTCATTACCGAACTGTTTCTTTCGTATTATGAGGCAGGATTAAACTCCTTTGTATGGGCAGGCTCAACTGTAAGTATGATAACCAATCTGTTCTAACTGGGTTTTTAGTCTCTTTGTAGCCAAACAGACCGACGTTAAGGACTGACTAGCTAATACTCACTAACTGGTTCGTAATTATCGTTGTGCTCGAAATAAAGTTATTTGTATGTGTATTACATGTATTAACCTTTACCCAATTGTTTAGTTTGGATATTTGATGCGATTGTTAAACAAAAAATGAGAGTACTCACTTGTATCTAAGTGTATGTAAGCACTCACCTGTATCTAAGTGTATGATAGTACTCACCTATATCTGATTCTATTAAAGTACTCACCTGTATCTGAGTGTATGAAAGCACTCACCTGTGTCTGAGTGTATGAAAGTACTCACCTGTGTCTGAGTGCATGAACGTACTCACCTGTATTTGAGGGTATGATATTACTCACCTATATCTGATTCTAGTAGAGTACTCACCTGAATTTGAGTGTATGAAAGTACTGACCTGTGTCTGAGTGTATGAACGTACTCACCTGTATTTGAGGGTATGATAGTACTCATTTATATCTGATTCTATTAAAGTACTCACCTGTATCTGATTGTATGATAATACTCACCTGTGACTGAGTGTATGATAATACTCACTAGTATTTGAGTGTATAAAGTATTTACCTGTATCTTGGTGAATAAAAGTTCTCACTTGTATCTAGGTGAATGAAAGTACTCACCTGTTTCTGAGTGAATTAAAGTACTCACTTGTATCTGAATTTACGAAAGTACGAGTTTGTGTATATACTCAACTGTATCTGAGTGCATGAATGTACTCACCTGTGTCTGAATGTATAAAAGCACTAACCAGTGTCTGAGTGTATGAAAGTTCTAACCTGTATCTGAGTGAAAGAAAGTACTCACCTTTGTCTGAGTGTATGAAAGTACCAATTTTTATCTGAGTGTTACTTGAGTATTCTGTTTCAATATTAATCTCATTTGAATTAAATTGCAGTCTTGGATACCAGCATTTGCTTTCATACGAAACTAAATAATTCTTTCTCATCATAATATGGATTTGTGAAAATAAGAACATATACTTACACATCTTATGCATCCTTAGAAAAAAGCAAATAAGTCGCACAACTCCATAGATAGTATAAAGTTACCGAACCCGGAACAAGATGTTTAACTTAATATGTATGGTCAGGAATTTAACACTTTACAATTCAAGTGAATAAAACGTTATTATAACCTAAAATTACCAATATGTAGTAGTAATTTCATATCTAAGGGGCGTTATTTACGATCATTTGAGATAACATCTGATATACAAAGAAGTAATCAATCATTTATTTCCATTCTCTTGGTATATACAGAACAGTTGATTTTGAAAAAAATAAGAATAGTGACATTATCTCAAAATTTTATGATGCAGTAAAACTTTCAGCAAATGGTTTATAGTTACAGAATAAGAATGAAGTCTTAATTTTGTCTATTTTTATCTGCAAATTAATACCTAACCACAGCTTTGTATGGCAATATGAATCGCTGCACTACTAGTATCCAGCACTAATCCAGTATAATTGCCAATCGTTTGGTGATATACTTTTGAACTGTTCTAAGTTTGGAAACAATTTTCTTTATTTTATTGAACACAGGAAAGAAGAAAGGGGCAATAAGGCCCTAATATTAGCGCAAATCAGAAAGTTTGACAATAAGGTATGAGTTAGTTTTAATTAAAAACAAATATCCCATTTAACGACATACAAACTTTTACTACAAGCTTTTCACATTGTCTAAGTATTGTGTATGTTCCTTGTTTTGCAGATACGTTTAATCATACTTTAGAATTGAAATATATATATCTGGACACCCAAAAACAACTGTATGTTTGGTAGGATTATTTCAATAGTGATAATCAATGTTTCTTTTAAACTTGATGTGGTTTTCTATATTTTCATGAAATACATACATATTATTACGCCATTTTTACGTCCTTACATCAACAATCTTATGTTGTTCATTTATATTTCGTGGGTCAAAACTGACCCCGAAAAATCCCCTATGGTATGAACAAACATAAATGGAAAAGAAATTTTCCATTAGAAAAGTTTAGAAGTTTCAAGTAATAAGAGTTTAACAAGACCATTCCATTCTACTATTGGTATCAATATTGTTTATTTTTCAAAGCCAGACGGTAATGTATAGATGCGTTTACATACGTCCATTGGTATTTTTCCATTGTTGTTTTATTGCCGATCACCATTTGAAAATAAAATAATTTAAAACCAAATTATAAAGTGTCAGTGTAATTTAATTTCATGCAAAGAAGGAAATTAATGGAATTATTATTCATTTCAAAATATGAAGGTATTGTCGAATTTAACTGTAGGAATAACAAAATATTAAGGTGGTAAAACACGAATAAAGTTCGTATTCTAGATATAATGTGTGTGTGTTTAGGTTGTATTGTTTTGGGTATTCTTTGTCCTTTTTTCTCGGGAGAGGGAGCGTGCATTTAGCTAGTTTTTGAACCAAGATTTAACATATTTAGCCCAGACTTTTCGACAAACAATGCCAGTACCTTCTTACAAAAAAAATATTTGTTTTTCATCCGTTCCTTTCGTCGAAATAGTGGTGCGCCGATTTTCCAAGATTTTATGAACTTATACTATTTTGAATTTACTTTGGCGATTGATATTTTTGTTAATCCTTTTTGATTATTTGCAAGTTTTGAATCATCTTTTCCTCTGTTTTATTTTTATATCAATCGCAATAATGTTTTAAACACGTTAGGAAGTCACAATTTTCTTCGTTTTCCCAGTTGGGCTACCAAGTCAAACTGTTTCCATAATAACTCTATACTTAATTATAGATCAGTGACTGATTATATTGCTATTCAAAAATTGGCAAAACAAATTACATTTACTAAATTTTATCATCGGTACGAGGACATCATACCGAGTTATACGAAAATATAACTCAATATGCAGACATCTTATTCGTTCAGGTATTTCACATCCAATCTTTTATGACAATATTCTTTACAAAGTACAAACATGTCAGTATTCACCTCAAAAGCTAATAAAACCTTTAAACAGACTTATTAAAAAGGGATATAGTTACGATACTGTTGTCAGGTCATTAAAGATTGCATATTTTGGCTTTAATATTGATTAACTCATAAGGTCTATGTATCGGAATTAAACGCATCTATTCTAAAACTAGTTGTTGGCATGACACGGTTTATGTATTACTCATATATTTTATGATGGTATAATACTAAACCCCTAACGGGAGGGATTGTGCTTGATATTCATATGATGAAGACATAACCTTTCAATCAGTTTATTTGGGGTCTGGAGCAGGCATGTCAGTAACTGCTAGTAGTCCTTTGTTAATTTATGTATTATTGTCATTTTTTTAGGTCCTTTTGTTACTTATTCTGACATCGTACTCGGACTTCTCTTAAACTGGGTTTTACTGTGCGTAATGTTGTGTCTTTGTTTTTTCTACATTGGCTAGAGGTATAGGGAGAGGGTTGAGATCTCAAAAAACATGTTTAACCCCGCCGCATTTTTGCGCCTGTCCCAAGTCAGAAGCCTCTGGCCTTTGTCAGTATTGTATGATTTTTAATTTTAGTTTCTTGTGTACAATTCGGAGTTTAGAATGACGTACATTATCACTGAACTAGTATACATATTTTTTTAGGGGCCAGCTGACGGACTCCTCCGGTTGCGGTAGTTTTTCGTTGCATTGTAGATCCATTGGTGGCCTTCGGCTGTTGTGTGCTCTATGGTCAAGTTGTTGTCTCTTTGACACATTGCCTATTTCCATTCTCAATTTTAAACTCAAACATAACATTCTGTCTAGCTTGGATCAGTGAAAAAATGAAATTCAAACCTATATATTACATGTATTACATATATATGTATAAATCACATGGTCATACTATTGACTAAACTGGTAGTAAACTGCTTAATTTTATGTTCGGAATAAAGCTGTCGTTCATATTCAATTACAAGGTTACCATTTGCATGAGAACAATTCTTCTTTTATTCTTACAAAAAAAAACACATGTTTAATGACAAACGATAATATGAAATCCGCTTAATCGCCCACTTTTTATGCGATATGTTTTGAAACGAGTTTAGTCACGCGTTATATCGATATCTATATTTAGATCTTATATTTATTACCTGTTCAAGGACAAAGTTTAGAGTCATTTTGTAATCATTTTCTGTTTTCACATAACAGTGATTTATAAGTAACTGTATAAATATTTATGAGACTAAAGGAATTGAAATCAAAATCACAATCTGCACAAACGAATTGATGGTTTTTCCTCATTAATGCCTTATGTATTTTATAAACCAGTTTTATTCTTCCTTTATTCGTTTGCACATTATCCTTTTTTCTTTATTTTTTATTATGTTTTGTTCTTTGTTACTTTCCTCCCTTTTCTTAATAGTTCAACTCTGTCCAGTCCCTATTTCATTTATAGCATGTCTGCTTCAACTAAAACACATAAATGGGGTACAATTAATAAATAGTTCGATTCAAATCTTCTGATACCTGGTGATTGGAATAACTATATCTAATGAATATCAAACAGGAAAAATTATAATTGTACATTATTGGAAATAGTTCTGTATAACGCGATTGATCAAACTGTGAAATTGCCGACAATTAACACATCGTAAAATATGTGCATGCTCAAATTCGGTGTGAAACTAATTGCAAAAAAAGAATAACGATTAAGATAAAAAATATTTCTTCCTATTATTAATGGTCACATTTTAGAAAAGGGTTCTTCCATTTTGCGCCATTTCTTATTGCTGAGCTGCCTCAAAATCTTATTATAAGTCATTTTCTCTATCTAGACAGAACATTTATAATTGCTTAACCAACAGATTTAATTTGTTACCATTTTCATGTATGTGTTCATTTTATAATAATTTAATTGAAAAGTTGGTATAGTGTTTGATTACGATAACAATATGACCCGGTCTGCCAATATTTGTTCGAGATTTGTGTGTTAATTTGAAATGTAACAGACGACTATCATTCATATTTTTCACCAAGTTATATATGAGGTCCTTTTTGGCATTCGGTTCTGTCCCAATGTACATAACATAACTACAAAAATGAACTACTTGGCATTGAAATTTCAAATTTTAGAAATGTCATATATTTGTCGAATTTGTGAACTTCGCCACATTAAATGGCCATCAGTGGTTTGGTTTCAAGAATGTGACGAAGGATAATGTGTTGACTGCAGAAAACACCAAAGTTAAGCAAAAGATACCATAAAGCACAATACTGAACCAACTGTTGATTATTAGAAATCACCTTGATATAGGAATTCAATAGGTCAAATTTGTTCTTACCATTAAAAGATATATCAGATAGTTTGCAAATGCACGACAAACCATGATTCTAGAACATACATTTCAACTACCGCGAAAACATGTTGATGGTTAGTGCAGACATAGTTTTCCCGTTTGAATGGTTTTACACTGTCTAGTAATTTTGGGGCCCTTTATAGCTTGTTGTTCGGTGTGAGCCAAGGCTCCGTATTGAAGGCCGTACATTGACCTATAATGGTTTACTTTTATAAATTGTTATTTGGATGGAGAGTTGTCTCATTGGCACTCATACCACATCTTCCTATATCTATAGACACATCGTATCGGTCAACCAATTCGTGATGGTGACCATAATATCTAAAATATCGATTTCAGCCGTTCTCCGTTAAACAATCGGTTGAATCAGTATGTGTATCACACGAGCGCGGGTGATACAAATGAAGTAATGAAGACTGTATAGCGCACAGTCTTAAGTTTGTTCTGTTGCATTGTATTTTCGTCTGGACTCATTTTTTTGTGGTTACAAATTTTTGTGGATTATGGTATGATTGTTGTTTCGTGGATATTTGATAGAAGTCTATAGGAAATAATTTCTCGTTGATCATTTGAATTAAACTTAAGGATGTACTGAGATGAAATTACAAAATATAGAAATCAAAATTGATACTATAAGTTGAAAGAGCATTATTGAAGGATCAAAATAAGCTAAAAAGTATTGATAGGTTAAGCTTCTTTTTTTGGAGATAATTGATTTTTTTAAATGGCTGGAAAAGGATGACTCGGAGTTTAACCTTATATTTGCATTGGTCTCAAAT